CGCTCCCCTAAGGGTTTTTTTTTTGTGGTACCTTTAGAGTTTAGCACAATACCTACAGCTAGATTATGGAGCCAAAAGTCAGACTTATTAGCTATGTGATCTTGGGTAAGTCACGTAACTGCTGGCTGCCTCAGTTTCCTCAACTGTAAAATGGAAATAGTAACAACACCTCTCTCCCAGGGTTGTTGTGAGAATCAAATGAGATAATGTTTGTAAAATGCTTTGGCTCATAGTAGGGGCTAAATAAATCTTTGTTTCTTTCTTTCCTGGCATGTAATAAGTTCCTTTTCACTTTTCCTCTTATCTGTCACCTATCAATCTCCTTGACTGGATAATTACCCATGTCATGTCCCCTAACCCTGGATGTGCCTAAAAGCTCTGTTCTGAGCCCTCTTCTCCTCTCTCTCTAGGCAATATCATTCTCTCCAGTGGATTTAATCATCATGTCTAACCAAATCACACACACACACACACACACACACACACACACAGAGTACTAGTCTTTCCCCTAACCTCTGGTTGCATGGGCAGCTAGGTGATGCAGTGGATAGAGTGCCTAGAGTCAGTAAGACTCATCTTTCTGAGTTCAAATCTGACTTCAGACACTTACTGAGCAAATCATGTAACCTTGTTTGCCTTAGTTTCCTCATCTGTAAAATGAGCTGCAGAAGAAAATAGCAAACCTTTACAATATCTTTGTGAAGAAAAACCCCAAATAGGATCATAAATAATTGGATATGACTAAAACAATTGAACAACAACTGCCTACTGGGCATTTCCACTGGGATTTTCCTATGGGCATCTTTAACTCACTATGACCAAAACAAAGCTTGTTCATTATCATTATCATTATCAAAACCATTCCTCTTCTTAACTTCTCTACTTCTACAAAGCCTGCCACTAGCCTTCCAGTCACCCAGGTTGACAACCTGAGTCATCCTCAGTTCCTCGCCGACCCTCACCCCCAACATCTGATCCATTCCCACGTGTCTACCTCCACCATATCAGTCATATCTGTCCCCTTTTCTCCACTGACGCCCATCACCTTTACTCAGGCCTTCATCACCTAGCACCTGCCTGAAGCCTCTGGCTTCTCAGCCAATCTTCCACATAGGTACCAAAAGGATTTTCCTAAAGCACATGTCTGTGTAAACTCCTCCCCCACCCCAGACACACACACAGATAAACTCCAGCATCTTCCTGGTACCACCAGGATCAACTATAAAGTTCTCTGGCATTCAAAGCCCTTGACCACCTCACATCTTCCTATTTTTTCAATCTTCTTACACTTTTCTCTCCACCCACATACTCTATGATCCAGCATCACCTGTCTTCTTGCTGTTCTTTGCAAAAGTCCCTTCATTTCCTCATTTTTTGCCTACTCAAAACCTGTCTCCCACACTTGGACATTGATTCCCTTCTCCCTCCTTCCCTTCTTTCCCAAGCTGTTGGCCACAACTCTTCCCAGCTTTATTCTGCATCCCTTGCTGCTGTCCATCATTTATTCTAACTGGCCTGGATTGGGTGTTCCCATACACGACAGCCCATCTCTCATCTCTGAGCTTCTGTGTGATCTCTTGGAGCTCTACATCTGTGGCACTAATCTCAATCAGGCATCCTAAGCTTCACTTTGTTTTGGGGGGAGTACAGTGTCTCGCATAAAGCAGGCACTTTCAAAGTGTTTGTTGACTTGAAACACTGTTGAGTCACAAGCTGGCCATTTTCTGCCTATATCCCCTCACACACCCTCCATGGAGAATCTACCCAATTTGCTGGATGGCTTCTGCTAATTCTTATAGCGAGCTAGATATTAGGGAGACTCAAACAAAATTCCTTCCTTCTTTCCTTTCTTCCTTCTTCCCTTCCTCCCTCCTTCCCTCTCTTCCTTCTTAACGCTGCAAGTCTGTCTCACTTAAATCCAGTTCATGCGTAAGTCATCCCCATGATGTCATTGGTCCTCTTCAAAAATGAAGGTTCAACAGCAGCAGCATTGTGGGCTGCATTGGCTTTTCTATGGCACCTGGCTGAGTTCTCCATCATATTTCCTCCTCTTCTTCCTTCTCTTAGATGATGTTGGTGCAGCTATTTGATACACCATTATCTTTATGACACTATTTTTGCCTGTCATTCACACTTTAAAGCAAAATGACTATTGGCCCATGAAATGATGTTTCTTGGTGACTTGGATGAAGTCACTCTACCACCTCCTTTATTTGCTTCTCTACAGAGAATCTGTGAGTCTCCTTCCACTGAGCCATAACTTTCTTCATATTCTGTTTCATTCATAGTGAAAATACCAATACTGATATTTTGAGTTCCTCCCTCAATAGGTGAGCTCATTGGTCATTGGCTGAAGAGCTTGCATTGAGGGCTCTACCCGTAAAATTCAATGGTTGTTGGATTATAGGTCTAGAGCAGGCCTGCACACCCACGCGGCCATTGGGCTGCTTGCAGTACACCAAAGGATTTAGGGCAGCCTGCAAAAAATGTAAGGAAGACATCCTGTACACTTTTCGAGGCTGCCCAAAATCTTTTGGCATTCCTGTGGGTCACTTAAAACCCACAGGCTGCAGGTTGTGCAGGCCTGGTCTACAGCTTCATGGGACCTCAGAGTCCATCTGTCCAGCCCCCTCATTTTTCATACAAATGTGGAACCTCATACCTTCCAAACCTGAGACCCAAAGAGGCTAAGAGACTTACCCAGGGTTACCAGCTAACGAGTCTGAGTCAGGATTTGAGCCCAAGTCTTGCTGACTCCAAACCCAGCACTCTAGCTGCTAAGTCATGCTGCCTTCTCACTGGGGTGGAAAAACTGATTCTTAGCACCTACCGGCCCCTGTGCTCTGCTACCACCACTGCAACAGGTGGAAGGGGCTGACCAGAACTGAGGGTCATTGCGCATTTATCTTTATTTTTTCAGTTGCCATGCCAAAAATTCTCTTATAGAAGGAAAAGAAGAAAGTCTAAGAGACCTTTGGCTTCTGCATGTCATTTGGGCTCCCTCCAATATCACATGTACTTCAAGGTGTTTGTAGATTGCTGTAAATGTTTGAGTCCATAAATCAATCTCCAGGTCTTCATGTTTATTTCCCATGCTTCTTTCTTTTGGAACAAGAAGTTTCTAGAACACCACACAGTGTGCTGCCCTAGGCTATTTTTTCTCCTCCAAACCTTTCAAACAAAGTTCCCAGTCCTAGCTTAAAGTCTTCCCAAGGAGATTGATCTTACCTTTCTTGTCCTCAGAGACCCCTTTTCTCCCAGGGATTCTTTCTTCTGGACTACTATTGCCATGATCAAGTTATGCAAAGTAGAATTAGTAACCCAGCTCACAAAGTGCTACCCAAGATACAGGGGTTCTTAGCTTGGGGTGTATGAACTTATATATCTATATCTATATCTATCTATCTATCTAGACACATGCATTTAAATAGAATTGGTTTTCTTTGTAATCCTACATATTTTACTTTATGCATTTAAAATATTATTCTGAGAAGGGGCCCCTGAGCTTTACCAAATTGCCCAAGACATCCAGCATACACACACACACACACACACACACACACATAGGTTAAGGACCTCTGATCTAGGACCTAGCCCACTTCACCAACCCCTTCGCAGGGTAGGTTTGAAGGTTCTTCTTGAGCTGCATCTTCAGCCTGGCAGTCTTTAAAGGATCAAGGGCCCATGGGGTCTTGTTGCCTGTCTTCTCATCAGCAGAGGTGGTGGAATGATCTCGGTGGGGCAATGATGCCAATGGGACCTAATGGGAGCAGGGAATCTTGGGCCTTAATGAGCATGTGGCGTCCCGTGCCACTGACATACGGAGAGCTGCTCAGTGGGCCTCCATCTGCCATCATCCTCACTGGGCTGAATATTGTTCAAGGGGTAGATAAGATAGATTCTTTCTCATAATAGGCCCCAAACTTTAAAATATAGCTATAAGTTCACTAATCTGCTTTAAAGTTTACTGGCATAACCACTAGAATGCTGACCAGAGGACCTCAGCCTTTTGGCCTGTAGGACCAAGGCCAATGTAGGTGAGAGGATGGTAGGACTCCAGACCTCTGCCCACTTTTGTTTCATCACCCTGACCAAATCCAGCATGGGTAGGATGTCTTGACATGGTATGGAAAGTTTCTCAACTTATTTTTTGCCCCCAGACCACTTTCTCTTGCCCAACAATGATGAGGTGCCCATCTTATGCACTTAGTCAGCAGACATGACCCTTGCTTGACCATCCTGTGACCACCCATGCTGATGCATCATTTCAGGCTCTCCTGAAGGGTCAAGAGCTAGGTCTATCAACCGATGAGATTCTGTATTTTACTTTGCCTTTTCTGTGTCTCTGGGTATCAAGCACTATAAAATTAAGGCCCTGGAGAGAGGGGAAATCTCCAGTTGTGAAGATCTGGCACAGAAGCTTTGCTCCTGGGTGTTTGGGGTCATCCCCTTCCCCGGCAGCCTTTTCTGGTGGGACTCTCCCTGTTGGCTCATCGGTCCTGCCTCCTTCCCATCGGACCTTAGGCTAAGGCCAGGCTCACCAGACACGTGACTCTACCACTGCTGAGGTTCACTTTATTGGAGGGGGCCATGGACCTTATAATAAAGTGCTATTGGCCCACGTATCTGCCTTAGTTTCTTTTATTGTAGATTGAACAATTTTAAACACCACAGTGGTGGTGGCATTCTACCTACCATTATCCTTCCCCCCTCTCTGATCTCTTCACCAAACTTTGTGTATAAACACCTTCTCAATGGTATCAAGTGGGCAGGATGGGTGGGCAGAGCTTTGAGGACTTCTCTTCTTGGGAACTGCTGAGGGCTTCTGGACGTACCTTAATATTGGGATCCTGTAATGATGTGAGCACATAATCTCCAGTTCAAAGGGGAGGAGAGAAGAGAGACAGACCCAGAGGGACACAAAGAGAGAGTCAGACAGAATGTGTAACTATGAATCTGAGTTTGATGTGTAACCAAATTATACTTTGTTTCCTTTCAAGGTTCTTTGCAGGTGGATTCTAAGCATCAAAAGAATTATCGGAAGAACGTAGCCTACCACAATTGGCGGCACGCCTTTAACACGGCCCAGTGCATGTTTGCTGCATTAAAGTCGGGCAGAATTCAGGTAGGTGCCCACTCCCTTCTCACACTGTTCAAGGTCATGCCTCTGCCTTTGTTTCATTTTTAATGCCAACTCTGAAAATGCGGTTTAGTCCATTCCGCTTATATTCTGAGATTGAGAAAGCCCTCACATTTATGCCTGAGGAGTCTCCGTTAAAGGAACTGCTCAGACCTGACAAGACTGGGGGGAGGGGCGGGGATGTGATCATCTCCTTCAAAGGTTGGAAAGGCTGATGTTCGAAGGACAGTTTAGACTCCTTCTGTTTGGTGCCAGAGGTCAGAACCAGGAGCAAGGATATTTTGAGAGGCAAATGTAGACTTGGTGTCCAGAAAACTTCCTAACAGTTGTTCAATCATTTCAATCATGTCTGACTCTTCAGGACTCCATTTGGGGTTTTCTTGGCAAAGATACTGAGTGGTTTGCCATTTTTTTCTCCAGCTCATTTTACAGATGAGGAAACTGAGGCAAACAGGGTTAAGTGACTCGTCCAGGGTCACACAGCTAGTAAGTGTCTGAAGCCAGATTTGCACTCAGGTCTTCCTGACTGGAGGCCAAGCATATATCACTGGGCCATGTCGTTGTTCTAACAATTAGAGCTCCCCAAAACTGGAATTGGAGAAGATGGGTTTCTGTTCCATGGATGTCTTTAAGCAGAAGCTGGTCATTCGCCCACTGAGTAAGCTGTAAAAGTGGCTATTTGTCACGCCTGGGAGGTCCCTCCAAACTGGAGGGCCTGTGACTCTTTAGTTCTACAGATTTCCTTGTTGCAGAAGGAAGAACAAAGCCACAGCATTTCACCTCATTGCAGCTGTCCTTCAGAGTGTCTTTATTTCTGCCTGATTTCACCCATTTGGGTGCACTCTCCCCCCGTGTGCATCGCAGGCCATTGACTGAAATGATCCGTCAAAAAAGAGACTGGTTTCATGGAACCCCATCATGTACCCCGCAGGATGAGAACTGACCATTGTCATTATTTAGTTATTTGTAGTCGTGTCTGACTCTCGTGGGTTTCCTTGGCAGAGACACTCGAGTGGTTTGCCATTTCCTTCTCAGCTCATTTTATAGATAAGGAAACTGAAGAAAAGGGTGCAGTGACTTGTCCAGGGTCACACAGCTAGTGAAGGTTTGAGGTCAAATTTGAATTCAGGTCTTTCTGACTCCAGGGCTGGAAGTGTATCTGCTGCACCACCTAGCTGACCCAATTGGCAATAGAAAGCAGTACTAATGGTATTAATAAGAAAAAAGTGAGATATCTCCCCTCCTTTATTCTCAACCTGTGAGAGGTCAGGGACCACAGCCTGGAAATTGAGAGGCTTGGATTCAAGATTGGCCCCAGACCACTGAGATGTGTAACTTCGGACAAGGCCCTTCACCTTCTGAGCTTCAGTCTCCTCAGGGATAAAATGAGGGCACTGGGAGGTGATTGATCCTGGTTCTATCACTTAATAACTGTGTGACACTGGATGAGTTCAGTCCTCTGAACTGAAAACAAACCACACTTTGACTTTATCACAGCTCTAATTAAAAGCTTAAGTTTTAAAAGTCAGATTTTGTATTCTAGAGACAGTTTTATACAGGTAGATATTGTTACAGAACATAGTTATCTTAAGGAAATGGCAATTATCACTGTATTGTTCAGGCTCTTTAAAAATATATATAAAGAAATAAATGTGCCTCAGTTTCCTCATCTGTAAAGTGAGAGGGTTAGACTGGATGATTTCCAAGGTCTCTTCCAACTCTACATAAGGGAAATTGTCCCTTTAAGGCTAACAGTATCTCTGTGTAAAGGAGAAGATTTGAATCAACCATTGAAGGATTTAAGATATTGCTGCCATTATATATGAATATTTAGATGCAGAGGGCCTCCAGGCCACCAAAGGACAGTCAAACTGGCCAGAGCAAGTCAGAGCTTCCATGTCAACCAGCCATGGGCTCAGCCTGTGACAGAAATGCCAAGTCTCAAAAAAAAAAAGAAAAGAAAAGAAAGTTCTCAGGATTGTGAGTGGCTGGTTGTATAATATCACATACCAGGTGGACACATTATATTTTAAGTGGCTGGTTGTATAATATCACATACCAGGTGGACACATTATATTTTAAGCAGCTGGTTCTATAATATCACATACCAGGTAGACATATTTTAAGTGGTTGGTTGAATTCATGGGAAATCCATAAGTGGGACTCAAGAGCTAGAGAATGAGTAGGGGGAGGGATTCCCCAGTGGGATTCTCAATGGGATTACCCTTTGGACTCCATGAGAGTTTGATTGTAACCATCTGGGGGAGTTTGCATGTGACCGTGTGGTGGTGGTCTATCTCTGGAATCTAGACCTACCAGGGCAAGGGCACAAGGGAGTGAGTAAGCCAACCCAGAGAATAGCAGGTGTTCACACTTCCATGCGAGGGGAATAAATAATACTGCACTGATAGCACCACTCCCCCACTGATGCCCAAGTGTGGCGTTCTCATAGTGAGTAGCATGCCATATACAGGGGACCTCATTACCTGTCTTCACAAACATCCCCTTGAGCTCCAAATTCCATGCTCTCTGATTCCCAAAGACAATACCTGCTTGGTTTCCTGCAGGAAACCTGTTGGATTAAAAAAAATTTAACATTACTAATACTATTGAATAGAATGAGGTTGAGGGTCACACTGATTGGCCAAAGGGGCAGATAAAGATAACTGATCAGAAGCCTTTACAAAAGCCACAGCCACAGCAGGGGTGTTTCCAGACTGAAATCCGAATGGTCCTCTGGTCTCTTCTTGCTAACTTCAGGGGAATTGAGTAGCCTGGGGGGGGGCCACATGTGGCCTGGAGGTCCCAGGTTCCCCACTTCTGGAGTAGCCCAACTAAATAGGATCTGATTCCATAATGTGGCAGAAGAATTTGACCTTTTTTAGAGTTGTACCAGACACTGTTTAAATAGATTTTACAGAGGAAAAATAATAGAAATATGGAAATCCCTCACTTTTTCATGTGTATATATGCACATACACACACACATATACATATATATACTTATGTGTATACATTTATACACAAGCATTTATATGTATATACTTATGTGCATATACATACCTACACACATACATATATGGATGAATATATATGTGTGTTCCATATATACATAAATATGCGTGTGTGTTTTCTTAAAAGTCTAAAAAGTTGCCCCCGTCTCTGGTTTCATGGGTTTCTGGTTTTCACTGGCTAGTTTTTATCACAGGGATTGTTTTCCAAACACTCAAATAAGGTGGCTCAGCAATAGTTTTCCTTTTCTAGCTTCTGACCAAAGTTCTACAAAGTGTCCCAAACATCTTAGTACATTTTTAAGCCATTCAAGGTTATTAAAGGGGGAGCTGTTAAAGCTTATTATGGGGTAATATTCCAAAAAAATCAAAGTTGGATTCCTCCCCCCGCCCTGGAAATAGAGAGTGCATGTGATACCCTCTAGCTTTCAATCCAAGAGTTTATGTTGTTCTTTTTCCTGTGTAAAACCTCCTTAGTGCTAGCTAGATCTCTGAAAAGTTGAGGGTAGCCAACTCCCTTTCATCCTTCCTAATAGAAAATCTAGAAAACAAATTTCACAAACTGCTTTCCTTCCTTTTATACCTTTTGGCAATGACTTGTTCAGGTTAATGTTCAGATGAGTCTGTGGTCCTCACAGTCTAGCTCAGCTGTGTTCACTGGAATTGGAGGCAGGGTGTCTGAGCAGCGAAGCAAAGCCTGGTCATTTCAAGTGTTCTAGGTATGTCTAACCCACAGCTGGTTAGAGGAGACCAGGGTGATTACCTAAAATGCCAGCATTGCGGTGTTCTGAAGGAACTGGACAGCTGTTCCTAGGGATTCTAGTTACATCTTTCAATAAAGGCCATTTGTGACCAGAGCCACACCATGAGGCTGAATTGTGTCCAGTTCATTTCAGCCTGAAGTGTGTTTTATGGGGTTCCAGCCATACCGAGGTGCTCTGGGGCCAAAATGAGGGGCATGTAGCTCAGATATTGGATGCATGTCATCAAAAATGTATCTGCACCTACCCACCAAACCCAATGAGATCCCATCGGATTCTCTGCCCGATGTGCCCAGCATTCATGCCTCATCCCCTCTCTGTGTCTCTTTGTATGCAAAGAACCAGCTGACTGACCTGGAGATCCTGGCCCTGCTGATCGCGGCCCTGAGTCATGACCTGGATCATAGAGGGGTGAACAACTCTTACATACAGAGGTAAGCACATCTGCAGAGGGCAGAGGGCAGAGGGCAGAGCTGATGCTTTGGGGGCTAAATGATAGAGGGGCCTTCTTCTTCAAAGCCATAGAAAACATTTGGCATTTGTTTTCCATCCATCCAATAAACATTTATTAAGCCCCTACTATGTGCCAGGCACTGTGCTTGGGGATATAATGAATAAAAAGACAGTCCCTGCCTTCAAGGAGCTTACAGTCTAATGGGTACTTGCTTTACCTGAAATATCAAGAGGGGTCTCTTTCCCAGCCTTGGAGTCATTTAAAGACCATGGAGGCTAACTCCCTCATTTTACAGATGAAGAAACTTAGGGCACAGCTGGGATCTGAGCCTAAGTCTTTGCTCTGATGAGGCAGCAGGTTGTAGCAGAGAGAGTGTGGCCTTGGAGTCATAAAGGCTTGGGTTCAAATCCTGCCTCTGACATTTACTATCTGCATGATAATGGACAAGTTACCCTCTCTGCCTCAGTTTCTTTATCTGTAAGATGGGAATCATAGCAGCACTTCTCTTACTGGGCAAAGAGCCTTGGCAATCTTGTTATGCTATCTAAATGTTGGCTATTATTCTATTACTTAGGAATGGTAATGATAATAATGATAATAATAATAATAATAATAACCACATCAAATAGAGACGAATGAGCTCATCAGGACTGATGTTTACACGGCACTAGAAAGCTTGCAGGGCGCTTTCATCACTTCGTTTAATTGGAGAGCAAGAACAACCCCATCAAGTAGGTACCACAGGTGGTATTACTCCCATTTTACAGATGAGAAGACTGAGGCTCAGCCAAGCCAGCCGACTTTCCTAGAGATTGTTTTATTTTGGGGTGTTTGTATCACAGAGTAGACACTTAATAAATGCCTGTTGACTGATTACTTTCTCCCCCTGCTAGGAACAATAAGATTAACACAACCTAACAGCTAATATCACTTTAGTGTAATATTTGCAAAATGCTTTCCATGTGTTAGCTCCTCTGGTCCTCTCAACAGTCCTGTTCTACTAGTAGGTGTTATTGTTATCTCCATTTTACAGATGAGGAAACTGAGTCTCAGAAGTTCAGTGATTTGCCCAGAGTCACCCAGCTAGGCAGTTTCAGGGGCAGGATTGGAATCAAGCCCAGCACATGTATTCCCTCTCCCGCCTTCTACTTTAGAGTGTAAATAAGCTCCTCGAGGACAGGAACTGGCTTGCCTGCTTTTTTTGAGCATGTGTCCTGTGTCTGGCACTCTGTCTGGCATATAGTAAGCATTTAATAAATGCTTACTTTATCTATGTATGCCACGCTGCTCTACCAGCCCCAAAGAAATGGAATGATGACTTAAAACTCTGTTTTTCCCCTGCAGAAATAACTAACGAATTGTCTAAGGGGCACTGTGTGTAGTAGATCGAATGTTAGGCTGGAGGCTCAAGGAGAAGCAGGTTCAAATCCTTCCTCGATCTCCTACAAGCTCTCCTCTGGCCATGGGCAACCTACCCCGAGCCTTGGTTTGCTCATCTGCAAAATGGAAATGAGCTTCACACCTTGGGCTTGTAAGGCTCCCATGTGACATTTAATGGACTGTGCCGAGTAAACTTTAAAGTGCTTTAAAATCAGCAGAGAGTGCTACTCCCCCATAGCTTTAAGACAGGTCAGGAGAAAAGAGGATTTTCACCTGGGACATACTCAGAAGGCTTCTTCTTATGACAGCCCAATGGTGCCCACCAAAGGAAGGCCTTCATGGACAAGTGAGGAATCGGTCTTCCTTATCCTCCACCACCATCATCATTTCTTTTTCTTGGCCTGAGGTCAATAACGTGGCGATTTTGTTACATCTCCGATTTTAAAGCATCTAAATTTTAGCTATCAAATTTTACATCTTAGAACAGTTCTATATAGACAGATAGATAAGACCATATAAGATTGCTATCTTAAGGAAATGACAGCTATTACTGTGTGTCCAGGCTTGTTATCTAAACAGTTGTATACATGTGTAAATAAATAAACGTCCCAACAGCTAAATAAATTATAAACAGTGTCCTATGCTGACCTGGTCATGAGAAAAAGCATCACGCTATTAGCCAAGTGGAAGAGACTGAGATTTTGCTGCTTAGAAGGCTGTTGTTTTGTCCAAGCAGCCTTCTGATGCTTCTCTGGCCCCAGGTGCATCCTCAGGTGCAGTCAGGGTCTGTGGCATCACATTCAGTAAGAAAGAAACTAGGAGGTACCTGCAAAGGGGTGGGGGGGAGGGGAGGAGATGAGAAATCTATAGAATAAAAGCATATGCTTGGAGGTCACTGCTATCATTATTTTGATCGACCTGGCAAATATCTGTGACCGTGCCAGATTCTGAGACCTAACAAAAAGAGGCATACCCCCCAAAGATATCCAATAGCATTAAATGGGGGATTGTCAGATAGCTCTCCCCCTCTGCCACCACCAAAGGTCATTCAATTGGCCATAGACTCGAATCATTCAGTTATTTTTTTTTCTTCTGTTTATTTAAAATACATGTCTCAGAAAACATCTGGAGAGACGTCATCTCCACTTCAGAAAATGTCCTGGGAAAAAGGACAGTAATGCAGAATTCTGGAGCCACGTCCACTGGAAAGCAGGCAGTTTTAGCTCTGTTGTGACCTTTTTCTTTCCTTTTTTTTTAATCCTCGAGCATTTCCAGGGTTTTCTTCTTTCTAAATCCCTGTGGTTAGACAAGTCATGGGGTGAGAGGGAGGGACTCAAAATTTTCCAGGGATGGTTCTCATTTTGGTGTTCTCAGCACATGAGGGCAGCTGGGTGGCACAGTGGATAGAGCGTTGGGCCTGGAGTCAGGAAGACCTGAATTCAATCCTTCCTCTCATACTTAACTAGCTGTGTGACCCTGGGCAAGTCACCTAACCACTGACTGCCTCAGTTTCCTCAATTGTAAAATAGGGATGAAAATATCACTTACTTCCCAAGACTGTTGTGAAGATCAAATGAAATAATATTTATAAAGTATTGGCATAGTGCCTGGCCCATAGTAGGCACTTAATAGGTACTTGTTTTCTTCTTTCCATCTCCTAGCCCTGGGCATTTTTACTGGCTGTTCTTCATGCCTGGAATGGGCAGGCTGGTGCTCTCTCTTTCTCTCTCTCTCTCTCTCTCTCTCTCTCTCTCTCTCTCTCTCTCTCTCTCTCTCTCTCTCTCTCTCTTTCTCCCACTCTGTCTCTCTCTGTCTCTGTGTGTGTGCGTCTGTCTCTGTCTCTTCTCTTTCTCTCTGTCTGTTTATCTCTCTTTCTGTGTCTGTCTGTCTGTCTGTCTGTCTGTCTCTCTCTCCCGCTCTCCTTCTCCATCTGTCTCTCCATCCTTCTCGCCCTCCTCGGCTTCCTAGGCTCTTTTTAAATCTCAGCTCCAATGCCATCTTCTACAGGAAGTCTTTCCCAATCAATGCTCCTAATGCTAGCTCCTTACTTCTAATGTCATCTTCAATTTATTCTGTATGTATCTTGTTTGTACATAGAGTCTGCATGTTGTCTCCTCCCAATGGATAAGATCTCCTTGAGGGCAGGGACTGTGGGCCTCTCTTTGTGTCTGTTGTGCTTAGCACAGTGGCTGGCACATAGTATGCATTTTAAAAATGCTTATTGATTTCACTTGGTGATAAAGGAATACTACAGAGAGCAGGATTTTCTGTATCAGTAGGCTTCTAGGGAAAAGCTCTCTTGTAACTCTGAGAAGTAGCATGAGCAGCAGCCACACCCTGGTAAAACCCTTTTGGCCTATGAGCTAAACCAGGTTGAGTGTAACTACCAGGCCTCAAACCCGACTGTGAGTTAAGGAGCCATCTACCCCATGCATACCCCCGGGGGAATGGGCAGATGAACACAATTTGTTCCGATGGCCATGAAGGTGGCTGAAGCAGGTGCTATGGAGCGCTTAGAGCTTGGTCAGACATTGAAGATGCCAAGGTCACCCCTGCATCCTTTCACTGGTCATCTGGACTTTTTTAGCACCTACTTTGTGCAAGGCACTGTAGAAACAAAGCCAAGAATGAAGATGGGCCTGCTCTCAAAGATTTTCCATGCCACTGAGGGATCTAGAAAGGCTCCCCAGAAGAGTGGCACCTGAGCATATCCTTGAAAGAAGCTAAGGATTCTAAAAGGCAGAGATGGAGGTGATGAGGAGAAGCCTCTCCAGGTATTCTGCACAGCCTGTGCAAAATCGTGGAGGCTGGCAATTGAATGAGAAGCTTGATGTGAAATAAATGTGGAAAAATCTGGACTGAAGGACTTTTCTTCTAAGATACAAGGTTTATTTGATCCTAGAGGCAATGGGAATCCACTGAAGATTCTTAAACAGGGGGATGACATGGCTAGAGCTGTACTTAAGATTATTTTGGCAACAGTTTCAAAGGATGAATGAGAAAGGGGAAATGCCCATTGGAAGACTGTTGCTGTGGTCTAGATGAGAGATAATGGCCCAAATTGGGGCTTGCTACAGTGAGTTGATAAGGTGAGGGGAGGTGTCGAAGACGGCTCTACAGTTATGGACCTGAGGGCCTGGAAGGATGGCAGCGGTCTCAACAGAAAGAGGGAAATGTGGAGGCAGGGTGCTCTTCGAAGGACAGATGAATTTCATTTCATTTCATTTTCAGTCTCTGACCTGATGATATACTAAAGAGTCAAGTTCAGTTTCAGATATACTCAAGAAGTATTTTTAAATTTTACTTTCTTTGTTAACAAAAATCTTTTTTGTCTCACCTACTCCTCTCCCCCATTTAAAAAAAAAAAGTCAGGCAAGAGCAAATTACCACATTGGCCATGTCCAAAGCTGTCTGCCTCAGTCCTGCACTCTGGCTCCATCACCCCTCTGTAGGGAGATGGTTAGCCTGCTTCGTCTCCATTCCCTCAGAGTCAGACTTGGTCAGCGTATCGGTCAGAGTTCTCACGTCTTTCAAAAGTGATTGCTTTATGATGTTGCTGTTATTGTATAAGCCATTCAGGAAATATTAAGCCTCCTAGTA